TGACGTCGGGCTACCAGTATCACGGTAACGAGCGATGGTACGAGACACACAAGATCTATTCACATTTAAATGCTGGAGTGCTCTAACGATAGCCACTTGTGGTTTTCCAGCCAAATATAAATAAATCACACTATCACGCTTGAATTCCATCACGAATAACTTTTTTTTTTTGGAAAATTTTCACAAAAATGCTTCTGTACGCTTGTAAACAATATAATGAGCTTTGAGTGGAATAATTTTAACAGCTCTCGGACTAGGGGCTTAGAAATGACAGCAGTCTGAAAGTGGTTGCAATTTGTTCACCCTGTATAGTATTGTTTCACAATTATAGTACACATTTCCGAAATCACCTTCATAAACACGAACAGTAAGGTCGCCATTTCCAAATTTCAGATTTCAAGCAGTTGTCTGGGCGTTGATTCTCGGTCAGTCAGTCACTTACTCTTTTATTGATATAGCTATAGTAGTAAAAAATAATTCGATTCGATAAAGATTTTCTTAAAGCTCTTAAATTACGATTACCATATATCCCACCACACTCAAACTTCGTAGTGCAGCCTTTATTTTAGAAATATTTTCACAGATAAAATAACAATTTGAATATCAACTTCTTGGAATAAATTTTTCAGTTTTTGTTGTTATTCATAGTTTATTTCAGTTTGAGTTGTTGTTGCTGTTGTCGACTATGCCATTGCCTGTCAAACATTGTCTCTATTGTACTTATCCCATTTCTTAGCAATGCTGATAATGTTAATATCCTTTGGAATCTAAACAGCATCGACAACAGATGCTGCTGCTGCTGTTTCAGCTGCTATGGCGTTTGTCGCATTGTTTAGATGCATGCAAAACGGAACGCAGTCATTATTCTTTTAGTTATATGCATTTTCTTACGTTCTATACTTTTCCCAGAATCTTTAGGAATACACCGCACCAGAAGCCAGGGATCTACTCTTGAAATGGGTGCAGAGATAGAGGGAGAGAAAAAAGGTGTATACCATACCAACTACAAAATGGATATTTCCTAAACATGGCAAATGGAGCATGGCTGGTTTCCGGAGGGTGTACTAAACGAATAGAGTGTTCTCTAGGTGTGAGTGTGTATGTTGGATGCTATTGGTGTTGGCAAGGAGTCATTGCAAATGGGGAATTTTTGCATCAATTTCTTTTGTTTTTTTGCTGTTGTTGGTTTTTTTTCCTATCATTGTTTTCCTTCTACACTTTCTCGTTGTTTTGTTTTGCACGTCAACATCATTTGTCTTCAAAGGGGAAATTATGTTACCATAAAATAATGGTTTAAATGTTGCTCTTCATGATGGTGTTTTCTGTAGTTTAGAGCAGTTGCTTTTTTATATTTCTTATTTTGTGTTGGCACAGTGGATATAAATTGAAACTTCTACAATGTATAGGGATTCCAAGGAACACCAAACCGAAAATTTTCAAAAAAAATAAATGATTAAAATAAAAAATAAAACTCTCAGTTGATTTTGCCGATAGATGTATACCCTCAGCCAATGTTCGATGATTTTAATATATTTTGTCTTCCCTTTTTATTATTTAAATTCTTGACCCTCTATGGAGCAGGTTCCGGAGGAATCGGCCAAATATGACCATTTCCTATCGGACCTAAATATATATTATATACATTGGCAACGTGCCATGTTTGGACTATATCGACTACTTCCTTTATATGATATATATGATAATTTAAAAAAAATTAAAATGTGCGTTAGGTACCACATATAGTCGACCGAAGTATTACATTTTTATTCCCTCCACCATAGTATGGAGGGTATATTAAGTTTGTCATTTCGTTGTAACACCTCGAATAATACATTTTAGACCCCACAAAGTATATATTATCTTGATCAACATAAAATCTATGTCGATTTAACCATGTCCGATCGTATGTCCATCAGTGGAAATCACTCTAGCATCCGAACGAAATGAAGTAGCTTGATAAAATTTTACTCAAATGCATATTATGTCTGCGGGACTTTTGATATTGACAATGGGCCATGTAGGTTCGCATTTCGGTATAGCCCCTGTAAAAATACTTTGTGGCTGTGATTAGGTTAAGTTAGATTAGAATTTGTAGCACATAAGGAACATATTTTTTAAATAAAATGAGAATTGAAATAAAATCCGAACGAAGCGGTCGTGTTTCTTTTCTCACTAAATATTGCTCCAGTCGAGCCGAATAAAGACTAGAGTTGACAATCGAAGAGGGAAATTGGACTCTATTCTACTTTACACCCCCATATAGTAGTACTTCCCCCTATTCGGTATTTTGGTGATTTAAGCGACATCTTTGACCGGAAATGTTTGGTATTTGAAGTTCGTAATGGATTCTTCAGCTTATGTCAGAAAATTGTGAGTGCAGGTCCACGCTTTCGTATATAACGGCACCTCCATATATTCGTTTTTTTATGTTTTTATCGACATTATTTCCAATTTTATATTTGCAGTTCGTAATAGATACTACTGCCTATGACAGAAATTTTTCTGTGTAGTCGAGGTTTTGATATAGCCCCCATATAATGGCACCACCCTATATTAGGTATTTTTATGATTATAGCTACATTGTTCACCGATTTTTTTAAGATTCGCATTTGAATATTGTAATGGCTTATGACAAAAGTTGGCTATGCAGGTTCAAGTCGTCGTATAGGCACTAATATAATGGCTACATTTGGTATTTTTAAGATTTAAATACAATTTTTGGCGGATTTTATTTTTTTGAAAATTGTCAAATTCGCTCCAAATGGTGGAGGATATTCAAAGTTCGACACGGCCGAATTTACAGCTTTTTTATTTGTTAATAGAGATAAAAATATTGGAAGGGGCAAAATTATAAAAAATCTAACATTCATATCCAATTTTATGCGAAACCATAAATTCCATATCCATCTCAGGTTTCTGGTTGAGAGAAATATTTAGATATAGCAAAGTTGTAACGAATCGCGGGCTTGCTTCGCAAGTTATGACAGGTTAAATATTGAAATTTTTGACCCTATGTGGGTGAGGTACCAGAAATATTTGCATGTGTGAAATTTGGAGAGATTTGGATGCTTGTTTTTCAAAATCTTGAACCATATGTGTGGTAAGTACCAGAAAAAATGATCCGATCCCGCGAATCTTTATAAATGATCTTGTATAATGAAAATATTGAGATGTGCCAAATCCGAACGGAATCGGATGTTTATTTCGCTTTTTATGACCTACATGGATATTGAAAATTTTGACCCTATGTGGGGGAGGAGAAGAAGAAATGATCCGATCTCTCCCATCTTTATGACGTATGTTGTGTTGATGAAAATATTCAGATGTGCCAAGTCCGAATGGAATTGCATTCGTATTTTCTGATATTCAAAGTTTTGAAACTTTGTGGGTGAGATACCACATGGAGTAGACCGATATGTGCCATCTTCACAGAAGATCTTGTGTTAGTGGAAATAATTAGAGATGTGAAATATGAACAGAATCGGATGCTTATTTCGGATTTTATAATTATTTTTTGTTATTTAAAAGGTGGGAGAGGTACCAGAAGAAATGGTTTGATCTCTACCATCTTTATAACAGATATTATGTTGATTGACATATTGAGATGTGCCAAGTCTGAATGGAATTGGGTGTTTATTTCGCGTTTTTTTTAGCTTCATGGAGATTGGAAGTTTTGACCACTTGAGAGGGAGGTACCGGAAGCAGTAGACCGATATAATTCATCTTCAAACTTCAAAAGTTTGGACCAAAGCGTATACTCCCTTCGAGAGTTATCGTGTGCACCAGCCAGACAGACGGACATCGCTAGAACGACTCCAAATATCCTGAAACGGATTTGGTCCAAAGAGACAGACCCTAAGTCTCTTTACCGTAATTTCGATGAGACCTGTTTTGGCAGTATATGTTATATTCCCTCTCTAGATATATGGCTGAGGGTATAAAAACGGCCCCCTTCTTTAAAAAAAGGAAAAAAAAACAGTAATACCCATATAGCGGTACAACCATATATTCGGAATTCCAAAGACTCTGCAAAATTTTTTTAAACGGAGTTGTCCGAAATTTTCTATTTGGAGTTTCTAATAGTTGTATAACTGCTTTACAAAAAATGGGACCTATATCAATCCTCATTTTGACTTTATATATCTTGATGGAGGGTATTAAAAGCTCGACCCGGCCGAATTAATTACTTGTTGACTCTGCTTTTATGAGTTACAGAGTTTTTCTAGTTATTTTTTATTTTATTTATGTTTTATGTAATTGTTTTGTTGCACAGTGTAAATGAATATTATTCTTTTTTTCACCACTGTACCAGTTTCACCATCAACATAATTTGTTTAGTCTTGCGAAAGCAAGAGCAGAATAAGAACATATATACCGAAAACTGCTCAGCTGCATTTCAATATTGCAAAACATTTGCTGCTCCCGTTGGCTGCTCCTTCCTATAAGTTGATATTTCCAGTGCGGTTGCTGTGAGTGTTTGCTAGTCTAATTTAAGTGAAAACCAATTTGTAAAATGCATAAACATCTAACATTAATATTAAATTGCAGTTGTATTTGTTGTTGGCATTATTCTACAGCATAAACTAAGAACTAATATATTTTCTAGAAATTCAAGGGGGTGACCATATTCCCCGAGTTTCCATGATCATTTATCATGGCCAGTGTGGTTAATGTTCTTGTAGAAAATTAAAAATTATTTCAAAGAATTTCCAAGTAGCCCCTTCCCCCTGAAATTCCCCTTAACACGTCCGTGCTTTTATAATACCTTCACAACATTTGTTTTCCCATGACAACAATGATGCTTATCATTAGTAAACATTTTTGCTCCAATTTTTTTTTATATGCATACAGCCTTAGGGGAATTAGTTTTGCAAAATGCAATAACAAAAAAATCAATCATAAAATTTTTAACAAATTAAAAAAGTACTAAAATTCAAATATATTTAATGCATTAATCTTTTTACTCACTTTTTTCTATCCATTTTTTCCTTTCTTTGCAGACATCACAAGTTCCCTGACAATGACTGAAGTGAAAATTCCCAATCACATAATGCGCTTCAAAAGTGCCATTTTAGGTTGCCGCTACAGTCTCGATGGTGAATCGTTGTATTCGGTGAAATGGTACAAGGATGGCCATGAATTCTATCGCTATGTGCCACGTAACAAACCACCTGGGCAAGCATTTCCACTGCCGGGAATTAATGTTGATGTAAGTATTTTCTGAAAAGCATAAAAATAGTGTGTTTAGTTTGTTATTGGAACCAGTGGCATATATATTTTAAATTAGAGCAACGCAAAGATTGGAAAGGATTAAGTAATTATAGAAAAATGGTGAATACCCTCCACCATTTGGAAGAATTTAGAAAATTTAAAAAAAATAAAATCTTTAAAAAATTCTGTAAAAAAAAAACGGAATTTAACATTTATATTGGGGTCTATACGACGTGGACCTACATAGACATTGTTTGTCATAAGTCATATTCAAATTCGAAACTTGAAATAAACGGTGAATAATGTAACTAAAATCATCAAAATATCGTATATAGGGAGGTACCGTTATATCGGAGCTGTGCGAAGACCTGGACCAGCATAGACAATATTCTGTCATAGGCTGTAGCATCCATTATGAACTTCAAATACAACTTCTCAAACAATTTCGGTGGGTATTGTATCTAAACTCGTCAAAGTAACGAATATAGGGAGGTACCGTTATATGGAGACTGTACGAAGACGTGGACCTGCACAGACAATTTTCTTCATAGACTTTAGTATCTATTACGAACTTCAAATACCAAATTTTTAACAATTCCGGTTAATAATGTCGGTAAAATCAGCAAAATACCGAATAGAGGTAGGTACCGTTATATGGGGGCTATACGAAGACGTGAACCTGCACAGACAATTTTGTGTCCAAGGCTGTAGTATCCATTTCGAAGTTCAAATACCTAATTTGAAACAATTCCGGTGAATAATATCGCTAAAATTATTAAAATACCGAATATCGGGAGGTACTGATATATGGGGCCTATACGAAGACCTGGACCTGCATAGACAATTTTTTGTCACAGGCTGTAGTTCCCATTACGAAATCTAAATACCAAATTTGAAACAATTCCGGTGAATAATGTCGCTAGAATCATGAAAATACTGAATATAGGGAGGTACCGTTATATGGAGGCTGTATGAAAACGAGAACCTGCACAGGCAATTTTCTGTTAAAGGCTGTAGTATCCATTACGAACTTCAAATACCTAATTTGAAACAATTCCGGTGATTAATGTCGCTAAAATCATCAAAATACTGAATATTGGGAGGTACTATTATGTGGCGGATATACGAAGACGTAGACCTTCACAGACAGTTTTCGGTCATAAGCTGTCGCATCCAGTGCATACTTCAAATATCAAATCTGAAACAATTCCGGCGAATAGTGTCGCTAAAATCATTATAATACCGAATATCGGGAGGTTCCGTTATATGGGGCTATACGAAGACGGGGACCTGCAGTGACAATTTTCTGTATTAATCAGTGGTATCCATTACCAACTTCATATACCAAATTTGAAACATTTCCGGTGAATAATGTCGCTTAAATCACCAAAATACCGAAAATGGGGAGGTACCATTAAATGGGGACTGTACCAAAACGTGGACCCACATGGCACATTTTAATACCAAAAGCCATAATATACATTTGAGTAAAATTTTGTCAATCTAATTTTTTTCGTTCGGAAGCTAGAGTGATTTCCACAGAGGGACAGAAGGACGGACATCGCTAAGTCGACATAGAATTATTATGAGTATTTCAAGGAGTTACAAATATATTCTCCATAGAATGGTGGAGGGTATAAAAAATATGTGACAATTTTATTTGATCAAATAATGCCGAGTATGAATGCCGGTACGTATGAGTTATATTTTTATATAAAATCACATAGTTATTGCTCATACGACTAAGTGTTCAAGAGACTCACTCAAAATTACGAACTATGAATAACATAAATAATTTTATTATTTAGTTATGATTTTTTATCGAAATAAAGTAGAAATTTACAGAGCATCATTTGCTCTTCCCTTAATTCCATAATTTTTTTAGTCAATTTTGCTTTTGAAATATTTTACCAACAAATATTTTGCCTAAATAACTTTTTTCGAATACTAGAATAGTTATTTCAACAAACCAAATATATTAGGCCTCCCCTCCACGTAGCTGTATAGGTTTTTTTTTTTTTTTTTGATAAATAGACTCAAATGTCATTAACATTTAACCATTTTTTCCGTCGATATTCAGTTTACATCATTTTTGCCTATGTGTTGAGTTTAATTTTAAACCATGATACGGCGCAAATGTTTTGTTGACCCTTTTTGCGGAATAATTTGTCAAATACGTCAATACAACGGTTTTCAACAAACGAAAAATCCATTAATAACATACTTGAGAGTAAATAGCTGGAAAACGATTTTGAAAAATGTATATTTTGTAAACTTTTTATACCCTGCAATACTATGTGTTGGCGGTATTATAAGTTTGATTAGGCCAAAAGTTATGTAACACCTCGAAATATTGGTTTTCCACCTAGAAAAGTGTATATGGATCTTTCTATCTCGCCGAGCTGAGTCGATTTAGCTATGTATGTCAGTCCGTCCGTCTGTCCGATTTCCATGTTAATTTGTAATCACTCTACAGGTCGCAATTATAGGCCGATCCTCATTGTGGTGGGTTTATGGTCAAAATAGAAGTCTATTGTTTTTGGAGGTGATTTATGGGTTGACATGGAGCAAAGACAGGAAATTTCTCTGATTTTGTCACACAATTCCAGGCCACAATTTTGAATGGGTTTAAAGAATTTTGGCGGTCATCGGACAAAATTTAGCGGGTAAAATAAACCATAAATTTTATGTCGAAAAATACGAAAATTACCCTAAACCGTGAATATTTTTAATCCAAGCTCAAATACATTAAAATGTCGCTTCCTACCTCAAAAATCACTCTGATAGCGAAGATATTGGATATATAGCAAAATAGGTACAAAATATATGTAAAAACAGATTTCAGTTATTCTGCAATATGCAATAAAAAAGTGAATATTTTTTGTTACATTTTTGTCATATTTTTCATCGCGTGCGATTTATTCTATATGACTTACAATATGAATTGTTCATTTTCTAAAATCTTTTTATACACCGCAACACAACGTGTTCAGTGTATTAATTACCGGTCGCAAGTGTTGTCTGACCCTCACAAAATTTTGCATTGGGGTCAGAATTAAAGCCTGTTGTTTTTGGAGATGTTTTCATTATTTTTGGAGATGACCTGTTGAGCGACTGTAAAATTTTCCTGATTTTACAGCCGCTCTAAAGCTCACAAATTGAAAACCAATCGACACGGAATATTGCATGAGTAGAAAGTGAAGGACAGGAAAGAAGTCCGACATTTGGAACTACCATGGGAATATATTTAGCGGTTCAAATGAACAACAATTTTCTGGACTGATATTGGTTATTTGGTGCACCATTAACAAGAAATCGATTGAGGATATATATGGGAGCTATTTCCAAATGTGAACCGATCTTGATAAAATTTGATATAAAATATGATATCTGGTACCAAAGATCATTGTTGTGAAATGCATATTACGCAAAATTTTAAGTGCTGGTTTACAGGATGAATTCAGTCGTAATTTCCAAAATTATGTCCATTTCGGCTGATATAAGCCAGTCGGTGCACAATAAACCTGATATCGAATAAAGATAAAAAACTGAACCGATATAGATAAAATTTGACAGACGTATTTTCGAGCAGTATCTGATGTCCAGCACCAAATATAATTATTCTGGAGTGCATATTACGCACGTGAGAGACTTAAACCCCAAACCGGATGAAACATATATATGGGATCTATAACTATATCTGAATCGATTTGCTTGCTTCGAGACTGAATTCGGTTGGATGTACCAAAATACAGGTCATTTGGACTTATATTAGCCATTTGGTGCACAAATAACCCGAAAACGGTTTAAGATATATGGGAGCTATATCTAAATCTGAAACGATTATCACCAATTTTTCTCCTCCTTGGACCAAACAAATGTTGTTTGGAAAATTTCATCTCAATCGGATAATAACTGCGACCTGATAGTTTTTCACAAGAATACATGGACGGACGGACGGACCGACTGACTGATATACATAAATCGACACAGAAAGTGATTCTATTAATATCCTCAAAAGTTACTATGGGTCTATCTCTCTTCCTTCTCCATATTACAAAAAAATGCACAAAGACATAATACCATTACCACTATGTGGTGTAGGGTTTAAAAATTAAATCCAACAAACACAACTCAAACATCATTTTAGATTTGTATATATACACCACTCGTATATTTCATCCGGTTTCTCCCAGAAACAATAATATTCACCTAGTATCAGTGAGGGTTGGGTTTTGTACAGACCAAAAGTTCTTTTGTGAAATTAAATTGAAATGGATACAGATATAGAAAAAACTCCCATGTGCTATATATTTCAGACGATTTGTAATTTAAGACCTTCAAAGCTGAACATTTCTGCTGATGTTCGTTACAAGACAAGGTTCAATATAACTTTACCAAAGTTCAGTTAAAATTTGGTTTAAATCGGTTCAGTTGTAGATATTGTTCCCATTTATATATCCCATTTGATTTCAGATTTTAATTACGAGGTTTAATATGTTACCAATAACTTCCACTGACAATTTATTTTCATATCTTGTTTAAATTAAGTACTGCTCCAACATATGTATTTGATAGGGTATCATGTAATCGAATTTATATGACTTTTGTCGTTTACTTACTGCCTGTGTGCACACTTCACAAAATCGAGGCATTCTTCTGGCATTTAATCTATTGTAGCAGAAAAACTTTTAAACTAGTTTTTTTTTTTTTTTCTTTCAAATTAAACAAATTCATTGAAGCAACAAATGTTCTCATAGTTAAAATTTTCGTCCTTGAAAATAAAATTCGCATTTTCATTTATTTTATTTGTCGATCTCCCCCCCTTTCGGAACATATGACATACTTTTGATAAATTACTCTCTAGAGATCCATTACCTCAAAACTGACAGTCCAAATAAATTACAGCAATATTTAATTAGGTATGATTAACCTTGAGAAAAGAATAATAATTAACATTGTAAGTAACCTACTTATATCCCAACAGTCAACAACAAA